CTCTCTCTCTCTCTCTCTCTCTCTCTCTCTCTCTCTCTCTCTCCCCCACCGCCCCACCCTGCCACTCGACTGGGCTCAGTGTTTTCCATCTCCTCCACCCCAACCTCCGCCTCCCTCTTGACCAGGACCCGCCCTGGTTCTCATTGGGTTGATTCCTCCGTCCTTCATCCTTCCTTTCTCTACCTCCCTCCTTCATCCCTTCCCCCATCCTTCCTGGGCCAGGTCCCCATTTCACCTACTCAGTGTTTGATCAGAGGACATGGGACTCAGATGGACCCCAGCTCTCCGGCTCCAGAGCTAGGGAGGGGACATTCATCCATCCTTGTTCTCTCCCTTCCCCAGACCGGGTGCTGGCTCCTGCCTTCTCTCTCTCTCTCTCTCTCTCTCTCTCTCTCTCTCTCTCTCTCTCCCTGATTTCTCCTTCTCTCACACCAGGAGTACTTTTGGAGCCCCTCCTCCCAGCCACAATGGGAAATCATCACTATCATGGTAGGGGAGCACTAGAGTCACCCTCAAAGACTGGTAGCAGATGCCCAAGAGCCCCCCCCCGGAACTGGGGCTGTCTGCCTTCCAGCCTGCCCTGGCTTTGTGCTCTAGGATGGGGAGTTACCTAAAGGGCACTAGTCACTAGCAACATCACATATGAGGCAGTTAGCTTTGCCAGCTCTGCTAACAAGCTAACACAGAGATTCCAGGAAAGGGGGGGGGGACTTCCAGCCCTCGCTTCCGCCCACACCCCCGTTGAGCTGTTATCTGGCATCTCTGGAGTGGGGAGGAAGGCGCTGCTGCTGCTGCTTGACCTTCCTTATCCCCCACTCTCATACAATGCTAGCCCTTTCATAGTTGGTCACGGTGACTGTCCCTGGCTTCCTTTGAAAATCCAGGATACCGTCGCCTTCATTTTAATTTCTTTTTTGGTTTTGTGTCCAGGGCCCAGGGTTCAGTGGGTGCTTGCTTCTTAAATGTTTGCTGAAGAGTGGATTGAGGGGGGAAGAGGGAGGCAGGAATAGGGAGGTTGCGACTTCTGCTTAGCACAAGAGGAAGCTATCCCAGTACTGACCTTGGAAAAGCCTAAAGCATTTCCCCCACCCTTCTTTTCATTCACCCATGAGCCCTTCCCATCTCCCCAGAGCTTGGAGGCACCTAACGCCTCGGGCCAGCCTCTAAGGACTCCCCAGGGAAGCTTCACATTTTCCCAAAGCTTCCATGTGATCAATGGTCTGCCCTCAAAGATCACTCTGGTGCCCTCTGCCCTTCATCTAGACCAAGTCCCGGATGTCCATCTCCATAGGAGGCTAATTCGATTCTCTGCCTCTCTTCCTTCTTCCCCCAGCCCCAAGCCCGATGAGCTCAGTCACAGTCATTCCCCACGTGGCCCTGCCTGGGACCCAGAAGAGAGCACTGTGTCTTGTCAGCCCATGTAAATCCATCAAAATCCAGAGCAGTCAATTGTCACCCATCATTAGCAAGAAGCTTTTTTGACACTGCCCAGATCCTTGACTTCCTGGAGGAGTAGGAGGCATGAGGCAGGATCTGGAGGCTGCTGGTTTATTCTGTGTTCATTATTGGGCTCCAGGATGGATCATGCACAAGGGGCCCCACCCAAGGTCCAGCATGGGGAGCTCCCAGACTCTGCTTCTCTAGGACTGATGCCCCATGCTAACCCTAGCCTCCAAAAGGCTTTCTTCTCCTTCAGTGCACACCCCAACTGTCTCTCTCCTGGCCATTTACAGGATCAAATCTAAAGCAGGAGGCCTGGGGCTTTCCAGGTCACTCTTTCCCCCAACCCTCAGCCTCCTCTCCCCTATGATGGAGGGAAGAGGGTGGGGCACTCAGCTCTTCCCAGAGGGCATAATCTTCACTTTCTGTCTGCACAGAACAAGAAGCCTTGGACCAGGCATGCCCTGGTACTTCCCTGCCCTCGTTCCAGCCTCCTCTTGGGGTTGTCTTCCCCTAGATTGCAAGCTTGTCGAGGGCAGGACTCCTTTCCTTTTTCTTATTTGTATCCCCAAGGCCTAGCAGAGTGCCTGGTGCCTAGTAGGTGTTTAAAAAATGTTTATGGAATTGAAAATTGAATTCCACTTAGGTGCTTCCAGAACACAAAGGAAAAGAGAATGGGGGGGATGGAGGCACTTAAAAACATCTACCCATCTTTTACCAATTCCAAGTCACTAGCCTATGGGTCCCATAAATCACCCTATTCCTTGACTAGACAATAGATTTTTTTGCTATTTGCATAACATTGTATGACAAGCCCTGTCAGTCCATTCAGTTGGTCAATAAACATTTATTAAACACCTATTAGCTGCCAGGCACTGGAGGTCAGGACCATGAGATCCTTTCTTGAACTAAACTGCCAAGCATTCAAACTCTGCTTCAGGGCACAACTCTGTTGGGCTGGCCACATTGTTCTAATGCAAAGCATACACTTCCCAAAACGACCATTTTATGGAGAACCCACACCAGGCAGGCACTCAGAAGAAATGATACAAGGATGCTCTCAAGGTCTCTCTGAAGAACCTTGGAACCCATTGTGAGCCATGGGAGAGCCTGGTACGTGTGCCAGCATGGCATCCCTGCATCAAAGGAGGTGCTGTGCTCTATGAGTGAAGCAGAATTGCAGTAGCCCGACAAATGTGAGACTCACAGCTTTAGAGACATCTCCAGTCCAAATGTTCACATGGACTATTTGTGCCTGAGCGGTGGGAGAGCATTCTGAGCTTGTCTGGGTCCGATCAGCCTTGTCAGACACTCTGTACCTTGACCCCAACAGAGTGATGTCATTTTGGTCCTTCAAGAATGAAAGACAAGTAACAGCATTTATTGAAGAAACAAGTCCAAGTTCATTGGAGAGTAGCTATGAGTCTAAAAGGATTTCAAACAAGATGGTGGGGGTTTTCCCTTTCCCATCCCCCTTCCAGGGTACTCCCTGGAACCCTGTGCCATTGGCTTCACCGACTTCCCCTTGAATCAGTCCAGATGAGTCTTTTCTCGCTTCTTGGTAACCTCCCTGTTCATTCTTTCTTACATTATGGTGATGTTTCATTACATTCATGTGCCACGACAGGCTCAGCCAGTGCCCAATCCATGGGCATCACTTTGTCACCACAGAAAGTACCGGTAAAGAGGATTTTGCTACATGTGGCCCTTTCTTTTTGTCTTTCGCCTCTTTGGTTGGGTATGTGCCCAGCTGGGGTCAAAGGGTATGGACATTTGATTCACTTTCTTCACATAATTTCAAATTGTTTTCCAGAGTAATTGGACCAATTCACAGCTTCACTAACAGTGCATTAGTGTGCCTGGCTTTCTTCTACCCCTCCAACATTGCTGTTTTTCAGTCATTTTCAGTCATGTCCAACTCTCCATGACTCCATTCAGGGTTTACTTGGTAGAGATACTGGAGTGGTTTGCCATTTCCTGCGCCAGCTCATTTGACAGATGAGGAAACTGAGACAAACAGGGTGAAGTGGCTTGCCCAGGGTCACACAGCTGGCAAGTGTCTGAGGCTGGATTTGAACTCAGGAAGAACTTAGACCTAACTTCAGGCCCGGGGCTCTGTGCACCATAGCACCCCTCGCCAACCTCCAACGTTACCTACTCCCATCTTGGCTCATCTTCACCAATTTGCAAAAAGGGATTCTTGGTGGAACAGATATTTCTTAGTCATCTCATTTTGATAGCTCAACTCAATAGGAAAAGACATAGGGAATAGGTGAGTATTAAATTCTTTGTGGGCAGGAAGTGTATCTCGAGCTTCTCTTCTGGCACAGAGACAGACATGTAAGAGGAAAAGGGGACAATGACTGGACTTTAAGGTTCCCAAAGACCTTTCCAAACTCTGTCTCCTAATGCCATGAGTCTTGTTTTCCTTATGCTCAGGGAGGGAAGTGACTGGCCCAAGGTCACGCAGAGAGCAGAAGACTGAGGCAGGATTCCACTTCCTGACTGAGCCTGACACTCTAGTCACTTTTTCATTTTTAGTCTCTTTTTATTATGAACTTAACAATCACCAAGGAACACAAACATTTTAAGAGATAGAGGTCAAAAAGAAGATTTCGTTAAAAAAAAAAAAAGCCATTAACTTCAGATCTGCTATTGGGTTTCTTTTCAGCACTTACGAAATCTAACAAAGCAGTCATGAAATCACCCCTTGGGTCAGTGTGCCTTGCTTGATCTCCCTCTCTGAGCTTCCTTTTGGGTGTTGTTAAAATTCTTTCCTCTGGGGGCAGCTAGTGGCACAGTGGATAGAGCACCAGCCCCGGATTCAGAAGGACCTGAGTTCAAATCCAGCCTCAGAGACATAACACTTACTAGCTGTGTGACTCTGGGCAAGTCACTTAACCCCATTGCCTAGCCAAAACAAAAAAACAAAAACAAAAACAAAAAATCTTGCCTCTGGCTGCTTTTCCTCCCCTTCTCCTGGTCCTCCACCATAACAGGGAAGTAAAGTGAAACAAATTCACACATCAGGCGAGTCTGAACTCGCACGTGTCATCGTGTGGA